AAGAAGAAGAAGAAGAAGAAGAAGAAGAAGAAGAAGAGGAGGAGGAGGAGGAGGAGGAGGAGGAGGAGGAGGAGGAGGAGGAGGAGGAGGAGGAAAAGAAGAAAGAAAAGAAAAAAGAAAAATCAAGTAATGATTGTCCATCCCATTTGGTAGTACATTTTTTATTGTTACATTTTATCTCTCATGGGTTACGGTTATTTGCATAAGAAGTTTCCAATCAGCCATCACTCTGGCATAAGCCAAAGGAATCCTACCCACCCCCAGAGCCTTTTCTACTTGGTTAGCCACATTGGCATTACTTGTCTGTACGGAAACATCCCTTCCTCCCGTTTTAGTTCAAAGCATGGAAACTATTGATGTGCAATTAATTGCTATTCATGGTGGGCTGAAACAGAAGCCAACATGATTGAGGCAATTGTTGCTGGGAGCTGAAGATTTCCTTCCCATTTAATAAAACATGATAAATATGATTTTAATACAAGCCTAGAAATCCTGGTGAAGCCTTTAGCTTTCATTATTTCAGCATTTCTAGAACATTCTTTGCTATGAATAAGAAGAGAGGAGAGTTGGGAGGAGCCACCAAACAAAGGTTTCAGTTGCCCAGTAAGAGCGGACACCTATCCTCTGCTATCTCTGGAGGGTTGGCGCCAGGACCCTCAATGATCCAAAAGCCCTCATGTCCCTTGGCTAAAATGGCATTGGGTTTGCATCTAAACCATGCAGTCCTCTCATATGCGTTATCATACTTACGTGTGTGTGCGTGTGTGCACACACACCTCTATGTGTAAGTGCAGAGGCCAGAGGAGAGGACAGCGTGTCCCGCTCCTTCATTCTCCACTTTGTTCCCCTTGGCAGGGTCTTTTGCTGAATCTGGAGTGAGGCTGGCTGTCAGAAAATCACAGTCATCCTCCTGTCTCTGCGCTCCTCACCCCTGCCACTGGAGTTACAGGTGCACTGTGACCATACACTTGGTTTTTTGGGGAAGGGGTGCTAAGGATTTTAACTCCGGTCCTCATGCTTGTGAAGCAAACACTTTACTCCTGAGCTCTCTCCCCAGGTCCTCCGACATTTGAAATCAACTCTGGATCACTTTTGTACTTAATGCAATGCAACTACTATACAAGGAACTGTTACTTAGGAAATGACAAGAAAAATGGCCTGTATATGTTCAGTACAGATGCAGTATTTTAAAAACCACCTTTATTAATTCCTTGAGAACTTCATATATTTTGATTGCATTCACTCCCACTTTTCTTCCCTACTCCTCGCAGACCCATCCCTGACTGACCTCCACTCCCAACTCCGTGCCTTCTTGTCTCCCCCCTGTAATAGTCCACCCAAGCAATTTGTGTGACCCATGAACTCATGGGCATTGGTCCATCCCCTGGGGCATGGTCAGCTTACCACCAGCCACACCTTAATATGACTGACTCTCTGTCTCCTATCAGCTGTCCATACCTCCTCAGCCAGGGATGAGGGATGGCGAGGCCCTCCCCACTCCATGATGGAACGTTGACTGGCTTGATTCTGTGCAGGCAGACACAAGCTGCTGTGAGTTCGTGAGCGTGGTGGCTCTGTTGTGTCCAGAAGACAGTGCTTTGCTCCAGTTCTCAGCGACCTCTGGGTCTTACATTCTTTCTACTCCTCCTTCCTTGAGGGTTCCTGAGACTCAGCACCCTCTCCTACCTCCCTCTCCTCTCCCCCACCCCACCCCATGTACATGCCTGTGTCTGTCTGTTATTGATGTCCCATTTCATATTCAAATTGACACAGAGAGGGGTCTTTACAACAGAATGGTGACAGTGTCTCACCCCAGATACTATGCTGTAATGTAGAAACAGGAGATTGTTAGAAATCTTCCCAGCGGCTGTATGGAGCTGAGTTTAGATCTCTGGCCCAACCTTCTGGCCCCACCCTACAGGCTTCAGATATGTGGATGACCCTGAACTGATATTTCTAAAAGATCCTGGGTGGTACTGATACTGTTGGCCTGGATACCGTCCTTTTAGAGCTGCTGCCCAGAGATGAGCTACCCTTGCAGAGATAGAGGGGTTCTATTTCTGGATTTCATGTGAAGGATGATGTGATTTGAAGGTTTTGGTCCCCAGTACAATGTTCAAGGTGAGGCTCTGAAAGGTGATTGGATCCTGAGGGCTCTAACCAATGAGTTAATCTGTTGATGGGTGTGTTTGGGGGTGGTGGGAAACTACCCTTAGGGAGTTGGTCATTTGGGACATGTCTTGAGGGTGTTTCTTGTCCTTGGTCCCTTTCTGGTTTATGCTTCCTGGCTGCCTCTGAGGTGACCTGCTGTGCTCCATCATACCTCTTTCCTGGTCATTTTGACCACAGATGAAAACCTCTGAAACCATGAAACTAAGTCTGTATTCCTTTGAATTCGCCAGATATTTTGCTACAGTAATGAAAGGGTGATTACAGGAACATGGCCCCTGGTGATGCAGACCAAACCAGATCAGGCCTGGACTTCATGTAGGAGGAAACATGGTTGAATCTTTTAAGCTTTTTGTCTGCATCTAAAGAGCAGACCTGATGTTCCCAAGTGGTTATATCCGGAAGATTCTGCCACTGTCTTAGCGAATCAAGAACTTTGATGCTTCCACTCTGATCCTTCCCCTGACTTCACTTCTGTGTTTTAATAGACTTCCATAACATATGAATTAGTGAAAAGTGAGTATAAAAATGAAGGAAGCTGTAAATTTGCTTTAAAAAAATCATTAAATTGCACACTTAAAATAAGTGGATCTTTTTTTAGTATGTCAATTATACTTCAATAAAGCCGCTGAAAGGCTTGGCCAACTGTGATGTTTGTCACGTGTCTTGGTATTTGTCATAGTTCCTGTAATGTTACTCTTAATAGTAGTGGGTTTTTATTACAGATGAGTCAGACTCCAATGTAACCATGAAGGGAGGACACTCTGTTCCTTTAAAAAAACCAAGTCAAATGCATTGGATTTCTCCATGAGGGTTTGCTTGTCATAGTTGACCGGTGTTTGGACAGTTGTTGGCTGAGGGCAAAGAGGGAGAGAATGTTTGGTTCCCAGTGTTTATTGGGGTAACTGAGGGGTGTGCTCATGGAAGGGGATAAATTTCACAAAGCACAATTGCAGAAACTGCAAGGGCTTATGGAGCTGAGGCACAGAACCTGTGCAAGACTCATTTTATATCCTTTGTGATGTCACAGCTGAGTGTTAGCTAGGGACAGATTCACAGGCTTTGGGAAAGGGCCATGCCTCCTGTTGAAAGATGATGAAATATTTTGTGGCTTTTTGGTTCTGAGGTCTACTGGGACCTATTAAATACCCAGTGGCCAAATGGGAATTAGTTGTGTTGGGGTGTCTCCCAGTAAGTGTAGAATTTGTACATTTCTTGTCACACATCCTTGAGTATTCATATTGGTGACAGCAGTTACCTGTCACTTCTGCCATGCAGGGAAGCAGGCCTATGCAGAGAAAGAGAGGGGTTGGGGATGAGTACGTGAGTGTGTGTGGAGGCTGTGCAGAAATGTGTAACATGGAGTAAGAACATTATTGAGGTAGTTGGCGTTTGTCAACTTGATGTTCTAGAGTCACCTGAGAAGACAGAACCTTAGTTGAAGAATTGCCTCCATTGGATTGGTCTCTGGGGCATTGGTTTTGATTAATGATTGACGTGGAAGGGCTCATCACTGTGGGCAAGGCTATCACTAGTCATTCGGACCTAGGCAGGATAAGAAAAGTAGCCAAGAAAGGCATAGGAAGTGTGGTGGGCTGAACAAGAAGGGCCCTCGTAGACTCATATATTTGAACATTAATTACCAGAGAGTGGTGGTATTTTCAAGGATTAAAAGGATTAGAAGGTGTGGCCTTGTTGGAGGAAATATGTCACTGGAAGTGGGCTTTAAGGTTTCAAAAGCCCATATCATGTCTTAGTCTCTCTCTCCTATCTCTCTGTCTGTTTCTTTGTCTCTAGCTATGGATCAGGATGTAGTTTTCTAATTTTCAAGGATTAAAAGATTAGGAGGTGTGGCTTTATTGGAGGAAGCATGTCATTGGGAGTGGGCTTTAAGGTCCCCAGTGTCCTCTACTTTCTTCTTTACGTGTCCTTTAGCTGCATTTCAGAATACTGTCAGTTCCATCTTGCTCATCTCTGTCCTTGTCTCTTTTCTGCATGTGAATATGGGATTTATTTAAAAGACAACTCGAGGGTGCTGGAGAGATGACTCAGGAATTAAGAGCACTATCTGCTCTCAAAGACCTGAGCTTGCTTCCCTGCACTCATGTCCAACAGCTTACAAACACCTTTAACTCCGGCTCCAGGGGATATGACTCCTCTTGCCTCTGTACTCATTAGTACTCACAGCGTCCTGCCCAAGCACACACCTTGACCACACCCACATATTAAAAAAATAAAATGAATTGTAAAAATGAGACACGATGACGTACTTTCCAATCATTAAACTAATTCTCTTTGATTTTGAATCTCTGCCTAGGTCTCTCTCTGACCAGTTTATTGTATTTCCCCTTAAGTCACAAGACCAAACTCTGTTATCTGTCACTCCTTTCCCAATTGTATGTTTCTCTCTCAAACTTCACCCTTCCTCCAGAGTCTCTCCTATTTCTGGCCCCTCTTCACTGCTCCCTAAACATCCATCTTTTCCTGCCACACCCACCCCATTTCCCATCACTTCCTCTCTTCAAAGCAGACCATTGAGGTCCTGTTCTGGTTTTAGTCTACCCTGACACTAGACGTACTTGCTGTTCACAGCCTGAGTGGACACGTGTCTGCCTTCGAAAGCCCATTTACCTCATGCCTTGCCTCTTCCACCCAAGTGTTCACACACAACATGTCATCTTTACAATTTTTATTTTTAAAGCCAAATGAATTCCACTGGCAAAGATCCTGGAGTTATCAGAGATTCTTAGGAGTTCGACACACTGTAAAGTACTTTTTTTCTCAATTCTATAAATTATACCTCTACCTCCCCACACGTCATGAGTTTCATCTTAATGGAACTTTTCTTTCATATCGTAGACGTAGATATGGCTGTCATCATTAAACTTGACGAAATACACAGGAGGTCTGGATAGGGCTTTGTAAAGGACCTTGCCGGTCTTTTTGGACCCGTCACTTTTGGTGTATTGTATATATTTACCTATGAAAACATCACCACCTTCTTCTGACGACACCTCTGCTGGAGGAGACTCTGCCATGATGTGGAGGTCACCTTTTTTGTAATCATCCAGGAGCTGGTACATGTACAAGACCGGGTCTTTCTTATAGGTAATGTAAAACCAGGCCTTCATGATTGGTGCTTGGGCTAGGACCATGCCCCTCCACTTATCCATAGAGCTGTGTTGGCCTTCAAAATTGTGGTCCACGACTCTGCCAACCATGGTGCTTGCGAAGCGGGTGTCTCTGACTTGAGGAAATGACACTTTATGAGACAGGATCTTAAGCTTTAAAATCCTTTTGTCGTTGTGGAGCTCCATTCCATAGACACAGTCAACCCCGTCATACTTCACCAAATAGAGAGAAGGATTGTTTGGGAGCTGATCTATAACGGTGGCCTTCCATTGGGTGACAGGCTTATCACCTTCCTTCCACTCATGAGAGATTCTGCAGCCGACAATGTTCCTCAGGGCCTGGGACGGTCTGCCCCTCCTCTGCTTCTGGAAAGACTGCCTGCCTCTCTTCTGCTTCTGGAGAGACTGCCTGCCCTGCCTCTGCTTCTGGAGAGATGGCCTGTTCTTCTTCAGAGAAGCCATCTTCTCCATGGCTGTAGACCTAGTGCTATAGGCCACAGCATTTCTGGTCTCCTCTCTGGTGGTTATGTTTTTCTGTCTGGGCTTCATGCTTGCCCACTGTCTGGGTTTAAGAACTCACCTGCTTAAACCAGACACAATGCTGTTGCCTCTACCATATGAGTGCCTGCAAGAAAAAAAGGGGAGGATGCTGGGCCAAAGCTCTTGTCTAGGAGAACATCAGAGCAGGTGAAGAAGGCTAAAGAGGTTTGGGTATCTAAACGTAATTTATCATAATAAACTAACAGGAAAATTAACAAGTGTTTCTCTGCAGTTCACAATAACATTCTCAGAGATACATTTCTTCAGCCCCAAGGCAGTTTGCCTCTGCCAAGGAACCTTTCCTCAAATGGCTAGGCCAATGTGGAGGGGGATACCTGCTCCCCCAGTGAGCAAGCAGAACAGAGCAAGAATAGCAAAGAGCCAGAAGGGTGGCCACACGCCTTTTCCATCCTCAAGCCATGAGCTAGGTGGCTGCACCCACAAATACCTGCCCAGGGACACAGTACCCTAAGTCCCCTGGCTTTCTGTGTCTCCTAAGCCAGATTCAGGTTAATTCCGTGAAGCTATTCAGAGTCTCCTAGCATGGAAGCCAGTGCTCTGAGCCCCAAGAAGAAAAGCTTCATGTCTGTGCAGCAGCAGCCAATTAGAAATAATATCTTCTAAATCACACAGACAAGAGGGGCTTTGGCCTTTTAGCGGGATAATGGGTTTAATATCGTTAGCAAAGGTAATAAACTCAGAAGAATGACAGGCCTAGCTCATCCCTCCAGTTCCCAAACGTGGGAGACATTACCAACATACAAGGTGGACTCACAGGAGTTTTGAGGGAAACCTTTTAACTTTCTGGGACTACGAGAGTCCCAATTACTTCATAAACATATTTACCCAAAGAAAATGTCTTAGCTGTCCAGATTCTGTCTTCTGAAAACGCTCAGGCGCCAGGGGCCTGGCTCCTGCAGGCCTCTGCAGGCCTCTGCAGGCCGCTGTGAAGGTGCTGAACCCACCTCCAAGGGAGTCTAGCGCCCCCAAGAGGAGCAGACGCGCAACCTCTGTTCGCTGCTTTGTGACCTCACCCAGGCTCTGCTTATGTCACAGAAAGCCCTCCCAGGCCGGTGGCACCTTCCCTAGTTACCTAGAAACATCCAGCATCCAGGCTTTAAAAAGCTTCTCATAAAGCCGCCTGGAGTCCCACCCAAATGTTCTCCTGACTCGAGAAACAGTCTACCCAAGTAGCTCACTCCCTGGAGCCTTTTCTCTGTTTTAACTCTGAAACTCTTTTCTGAGTCGCCAACGCACTCAGTGGTTAGTTTTCCAGCTCCCATCTTTCCCTTGGCTATCTTTGAGCCATCCTTCATATCAGAAATGTTGCCAGCCGCTCCGAGGCAGCCCACTGGATAACACACCAAAATTAGCTTTATCATAACCCATAATTAGAGGAGGGCCATTTTTATTCAAACAAAGCTGGAATTTGACAGGATTAAATACCTTGTATTGAAGTCAATGGCAATCATGAATTATGGATCCTTTGCAAAGAGCGAGGAAAAAATTAGCTCCTGGGCCTGCTTCCAAAGTCTGGGTAAACCTATGACAAATCCGATATCGACCAGTCATATTTTAAATGCCTTTAACATTTACCAGCACTTCTGGTTACAAGGAATTTATTAGATCAAGTTCAGTGAAACAGGATGAAATAGGAGAGGTTATTTTACTTTTGAAATATGGGTAGACAAGAATACTGGACACAGGTAAATATGAAATTTACTCGTGAATTATGGAGGGCACTTTAATTGTTCATGCCACATAGTTTTTCAGAACTTCAGAGGATCCTTTTCAGTATCCTCCCCTGTCCCCACTACACCCTGTTTATCCTCTTCTCAGATAATTAATTCCCTTCTACTTTAATGTCTGAAACCTATATATGTTGAGCTCTCTGACTTACGGCAGCTTTGTAAGTTTGGCCACTTTCCTGAGTATAACTTCTCTTATTCTTCGTTCTATGTCTGTTCTAAGCATGTTTTCCCTCATACTTTGAGTTTTACTGTTTCTCTGCTCTTATATGATCCTCTACCATTATGTGACCGTCTGCCCACTATGTGGCTGACATCAGTGTGGGTTTAATTCAAATGGAATGGGCGCGCGCGCGCGCGCACACACACACACACATACAGAAAACCCATGAGAGAAAACATGTGATATTGTATTTCTAAGAACAATAAACAGCGAGCTTTCAAAAGATGGAGCATAAACAGACAACAAATACAAGAAAAGTATGCTCCCCATAGTCACCAACTTTCGAAGAGAAGAGCTCACCTCACTTTACACTCATAGGCTCCAGTCTGTAACTGAGAGAAGTCAGGGCAGGAACTCAAGGCAGGAATTCAGAGGCAGGAACTGAAGTGGAGACCACTCAGGAATGCTGCTTACTGTCCTGTTCCATGGCTTACTCAGCTTTCTTCCCTTCTCATGTAACCCAGAGCCACCTGCATGAAAGGGTGACTGTGGGGTCGTGGGCTAGATTCTCCCACATCGACAATCAAAACAAGATAGTTCCTCACAAATGTGGCCACAGGCCAGTGTGATGGAGGCTCCCTTCTTTCCAGGATGTGTCAGGTCGACAATACAAAAACTAACCAGGGCCCCTGCAATTCCATGTTGATTGCTTCACTACCCACAATAGACAAGACATGGAGTAACCTTTGCTGTCAAACACTGGATGACTGGCAAAAGGAAATGTTTTATATATATATGTAGATATATTTATTTATATAGTATTTTTTTTAAATCTATGTATAAGAGTGAATGGTTTTTGTTCTCAGGAAAATGGATGGAACTGAAAAGTATATTATGCTAAGTGAAACAAGCCAAACTCAAAATGAAATTTGTGAAATTTAGATTTTAACAAAGGACATTAAGTAAAAGGGGGTATTTAGAGAGAAGGGGATCAATTGAGGGGGTGTGCAGGTGAACACGGAGGATAGTGGGGTGGTTAGAGATGATTACAGTATAAACCTGTGCAAAAAGTCACAACAAAGTCTGCTGGTTTGCACATTTATAGTGCATTGATACAAAGGAATAGAATCTAAATAATGTATTGATTACATTGGGGATTCATAGTTTAGAGAGGCTATCAGTTTTATTTGTATTTTTATTCCTACAGATGGCTGTTGCTGTCTTGCTTGACCCAGATGACAGGATGTGGCAAGGTGGTTCAGTCTTTGTACATCATTAGCCATCAAGAACTCACACAACTTGCTGAGCAGCCATGCTACCACGGGAGAGGAAGTAGCCAGAGAACTTAAGGGCACATTAGGCAGGAAGAATAATGCCCCCACTGCTCTAGGTGTGCAAATATTCACGCTCATCACCAGTTTCAATATGTTTGCCCAAAAGTAATCTTCTGAAGATTAATTCCCAGTGGGAATGTATTTGGGAGGGAACTGATTAGGTCAAAAAGGGACTTGACAAAAAAAAAATCAATTAATGCTGCTATTACGGGAAAGGTTTAATTATGAAAATGAGTTTGGCTCCCTTTCTTGTCCCTCTAGCCTATTGGATGTCTCTGTGATGACAACACCCAACAAGAATGCCTTCCTCTGCTGATGATCCCTTGATATTGCACTTCCACACATCTGAACCAGGAATCATGCAAAATCTGCTTCATTACAGACTTTATTATAGACCCCATCTGTGTTATTCTGTTTTGTCAATATAACACACATGAAAGTGCCTCAGAATAGTGAGCAGAGTGGTTATGAGGCATGGGATAGCAAGGCTGGCAGAGAGGATTAGGCTGTTAATCTTACTGGAGATGAGATCGGCTCAGTTTTGTCACGTGGGCTCTAGGTGAGAGAAGGCAGCATAGAGGAAGAGTGGAGATTGGAGGGGTGCAGCCTGGGAGGGACTCAGCCACCTGCTGTTGACCTTGGAGGTGGAACAGGCCACTAGGTAAGGGGAAAGGCAATAAAGCAGGTTTATATGAAGGTCCCTAAGAAACGCTCCAGTTCCACTGCTTTTAGCTAGTGGGACCCTTTGCAGGACCCGCACTTTCAAGGGTGTAAAAGGAAACGGTATTGCTCTAATCTACCAAGTCTGTGGTCATTTGATACATCAGTGACAGACAATTAACATGGTGTAAAGGCACCGACACAGGTGAGGAATCCAGTATGAAGCCTAATCTTGGAAGAACCTTTGCCTTTCAAGGGATGGAGACTGTCTTCTGCATAGCAACACTGGACTACCTTTTATACAGTAAGGAATATCCCACTATGTCCAGAGCAATGGTTCTCAACTTGTGGGTTGATGCCCCCTTGGGGATCAAATGACCCTTTCATAGGGGTCAGAAATCACATATCTAGTATAACAGATATCTATATCACAATTCATGACAGTAGAAAAATTACAGTTATGAAGTAGCAATGAAATAATTTTACAGTTGGCATCACCACAAATTGAGGAACTGTGTTAAAGGGTCCCAGCATTAGGAAGGTTGGGAGCCGCTAAACCTGACCCTTTTAAAGCATGGCTGTCATTCTGGCCTGGAGGAATACTCTCTTTTATTCAATTGGGCAGACTCAGAAAAACCAAAACCCACCAAAAGGTTATGAAAGTTAAACAGCTCTTATACCCACAATCTATAAGAAGGCCAAGACATGCTAAACCTCAGAAGGGTAACTGTCCACCCCCCCCAAAAAAATGTGGAAAAGGACAGGGCTGCTGAGGTGTTCCACAAAATATAAAGGTCAAAATGAAAAGCATGTTACACCATGACCATTCTCTAGATGAGAAGCAGGTGAGGAAAACCAGTTTCCTGATGGTGACACAAGAGGATACAGTTGTCAGGAAGGATTTTCAACACTTGTCCTAAAGCCAGGATTCAAAAATCAATGAGAAACTTCCAG